ATTACTTCGACACTCCTACATTTGGTAGAAGACAACAATCTTTTAGTCATGTCAAGCCCCTTCAAAGAGAGTAACTAGAAGCCTCCACCGGTGATAAAATATATATTAGAGATATATTATTTTTATTTTAAAAATAAACTTACATTCCTATTGAGGATTATGCATCTTAAGGTGATATAATTGATAGGTACAAGAGAGATTTTTAAGAGTAATATATCTTGGAAGTAGCGTTAAGGTGGTTGCTTTAATTGCCTTGATAACTTCAAATGAGTGATCTTTAGGATACATCGAATGACCATAGGACGATCCCTCAAGGTTCTTCCTTGAGCTTTCATTTTTACTAGGAGAATGATTTTATTTGGAAGGTTCTCGTTGTTCATGTAATAAGGAGAGCGCCCATGTTGTAGCAAATTAGCCTTTTCCACCCTTATGTGATTTTTCATGACTTGTTTCATCTTGAACAAACTTTTGTCTAGTAAAGCATAAATTTTTTTATATAAGGTGTATTCTCTTACCTCTCTTATTAATATCTCTAAAGCTACTGGCTCAAACGATTCTTTCACTTTGACCATCTCCTCGCTAAACCTTTTTAAATATTTCCATATAAACTCACTCTTGTTGGATAACACCAAATAATTTTATGGAGCTTTTCTTAATAAGTATGTTAGTGCTAAAGTGTGTCACCAGCTTAGTACATAGGTAATTGAATCCATCAATGGAGCTTGACTCTAAATTATTATACCATACACACGTAGACCCCTAAAAGGTTATAGAGAGGGTTTTGTACATTAAGTCATTATCTTAGATGACCAACTCTAAGCTACCGTGCATATTTTGTACATGTTTTTTTAGGTCAAGTAGGCTATCATAATTGTCCAGACTTATTTTTATGAAAATATAGTCTTTAGAGATTTGATTGTTCAATACTCGTTTGGATAAATGAAGAACCCTTCTACTGATAAGGGGCTGTGGTCATTCTTCTAAGTATGCTCATGTATAGATCTTTTCTTAGTATTTTATCTGTTAAACTATTAGGAGCCCAGGGTGTTTAACATGGAATGATGGTTATGATAATTGGTATCCATCTTATGATAACTAAAAAAAGGAAGTTAAGAGTACTGATTCTATACATGAATATTGAAATGGCATGGGTGACCCCTTAAAGAACTCTTAAAATTGTCATTATATTTCATCTTTCTTGAGTAGTCTAATCAACCATAGTGACTGGTGTAGCCGGTGGTTGTGTTGTTGAGGCGTTGCATCCTTTTAATGGTGTCAAGGCATATTAGGGTGGCAAGGTCTGATTTTAACCTTTAGTTGCCAACAATTTGAGTAAGGAGTTATACTTGATTGATGAGCTGTTAAAGGGCTGGCCTGCTGGAAATATAAGAAACAAGTTTTAGAAATTGATGATTTTTTTATCAGTTCCCATAAACAACGCCAATTGATGAGTCTTAAAATCCAAAATGTTTAGGAATAAGGTTAATATGTTGGATAATTGATTAATCTTTTAGTTCAAGTAATCTGATCCATTCTCCATGGTCAATGTATCTGGTGACTTGATATAGAAAACCTAAAAGGTTGGTAAATGGTAGCAGTTAATGCTTGGTAAGCCAGGTGATAAGTAAATATAAATAGTAGAAAACAATGCTTAGTAAGTCAAATAACCAATAGCAATAAAAAGACCTATTTGATAGACATAATGACTCTTCAATGGTAAAATCATTAACTTTGTAGAGAGATAAACTCTGAAAATATACATGTTACAAATATTAAGAATGAAGAGATTGTGTACCTTTTTTTTATAGGTCTCACAATGTATTTATAACTCATGAATCTTGTTATTTTGTTGAGAGGAGAGATTGAAGTGTAATTTTATTTTTATGATATTTTGAGTTATATTCTATATAAAATAATACATATTGAATTGATATAAAATACTGAAGGACTCACGTGTGATCCAAAAAAAATTTATTGGCCAGTAATGGGCTTAACTAAAGTGCTTGAGCTCATTATAGGTAAAAGTGGATTCAGACACACTTCCTGAATTCAAATATGCTGGGCTTGGGGGTGACAATCCAAGTTCACGAGGGTCCTAAGGTGTATGTACAACACTAGCTGGACATGCACCTACTAAATTGAATGGGCGTACATGCATTTACAGATGCCTAGTGCATTGCATAGCACACATACATGGAAGATGGGCTCCGACTACTTGCTCAAGCCCATGTTCCTGGTGCGTAGGCTTGAGCTATTATGCTCGAGCTAATATTTCTTTAATTTTTTTAAGATAATTTTTTAAAATTTATTTTAAAGAACTTTTTAAATTTATTTTATTTGGATGCATTCAATATAAATCAAGAAAGAGACAAATTTCAACAAAATAAATTTCAACTATGTTATCTTGTAATCCTCCAAAAAGGTTAACTATTAAGCTCGTTCATGAAAGGGTAAATTTGTTTTTTTATAAATACAATGAGCTCTTATTATTACCATTAAATGTGATATAGGTTTGTAATTACATTTTAAAAAAGAGTATTTTTTAACATTTTTTATTTATTCTACAATATTTTTCCATGAAAAGTAAGGAAAAATATTTATTAAATTCAAGAATTTCAAATGTTTGGGTTAAATTGAAAATTATAAAATAAATGATCATAAAATATTAGGTGAATATGAAAAACAATTATATTGATGTTTTTAGAAGATTAAAGAGTTAAAAATACGTGTTTTGAAGAGAACAATTTTCACATTTAGTTAATAAACACGTTTTCTTTAATTTTCTAGTTCTTAAAATTAAAAAAAAAAACTGAAAAGTTTTCAACAATTAAAATTTATTGGTTTCAAAATATACCTTAGACATGCATGAACGCAATGAGAAAGCAAGCCAAGAAATTACAAGTCCAAACATAATTGTGTTTGGCCTCCCTCTTAAATCCATTAATTTAAATCCAAGAAATTCAAAATATCTCAGAGCACGTATTTACAATGAAAGATGTGACTCTACTCCTTTTCTTACTACTTGGCCTGTACAGCTCGTCATTTAATGCTTTAGCTATCTGTGATCTTTTGCTTCCTATATTAGTGAGTATCTTGCACCAGTTTCCTCTTCGTTATTCTCATATATCAACAGAGTAAGTCTTGTGCCTTGTAACGTTTTCAACAATCAAGGAACACCCTCAGTATTGGAAAATTAATCCGCCGTGAAACAAAAAAAAGAGAATCCAACGAAAAATCAAAAAATTAATAAGAAAAGGAATTTTCTTGGATTGTCAGAAGTTAAAAGACGGAAAAGTTGCAGGTATCAGTACGAAATCGGAGAAATCGATGCATAAGAACTCGATGAAATTAATGCATGCTTCCTCACGATACTATCCAATATTCTATATATCCTATATATATATATGGCAAGACAACAAAAACAAAAGATTCTCCCTCCAATATGATGATAACATGGGCTTTCTAAATTATTGTAACTCCTGGGACCAATGTAGAAATCGATATGCTAATGCTACCAAGCTTATCCCAGCGATCATTAATCCCCGCCAAAGCAGAAGCAATTTCATCATGCTCAGTGAAGGCATCCTTGCATGTTTCAGCGTATCTGATGTGCCGTGTATGATTTAAAAATTGATAATAATGAATATGATAAAAATAGATGAAAAATAGGTTTGGTTGTGTTGTTTTTTTGTTTTTGTGTTTAGACTGAATTATAGTAATTTTAAAGTAAATAAATTAAAGGATATACTAAAATGATACTTTGATAAGTTGATCTGAATGCTACAAAAATCAATCTAGAATTTTGATGTCATACTCTTTGTGATTGAAGAATGTTAAGTCAGGTAGGATTTTTCACAAATTAATTTGAAAGAATAACTCTTAATTCTCTAAATTAAATTCAAATCCTAGCCGAAAATTCTTTATTACATATTCTGATGCCATATTTATAATTGGAACATTCCTCTATAGTTAGTAAAATTCAACATGACAGAAATCAAGCTCAAAAATTGAACTTTGACAAAGTAATTAGACAAATTAAACTAGTACACATTTGCTGATTTTAATTGAAATATAAACAGACCAAATTTAAAATGGTTATAACTTCTTGCACAAAAGTCCAATGTAATAATGGTTGGACAATTTGGAAAGATCACGTTCTGAACTTGAAATCCACCTAGATTAGTCTTGTTTTCACATGCAATGGATGATTTTAAATTCAAGTTCAAATTCATCTAGTAAATAACATCAATTCCTTAATTTATTTGTATTATCAACTCAAATTTAAGTAGTCCACCATCAAAAAAACTATTAAGGGCTATTCTCATCTCTAAGTTTCAATTGTAGACAAATAAATATCTTTGAACTAATTTCAAACTGATTGCTAATTTTTAATTCTAATACAACTTCAATCATATTTAACATGTTAATGTTTTTTATAGTTATTTCGCTCTTACTTTTATCATTGAACTATCTGAATCCTCTTGTATATATTAAATTTTACTTTACAAGATAAATTAAATCAATATCCTGTAACGCCGTTAAGCAATTGAACCAGACTGTCCATATCGTTAGAGGAAATTGCAGTCAAAGCTTGATCGAGGTCGATAATTCCAAGGTCAAATACGTCTAGGCATACACCAAGGCAGTCCTTAACCACACCGTCTGTAGAAGGATCATTACTTAGTTTCGTGGCCATTGCTGTTGCTTGCTCATAGCCTTTGTCGAGAGTATGTATTCCCATTGTAAGGACTGAAAGTGGTTCGATAGCACCGGTTAGAGAAGGGCCAAAGATGGCAAGACATTCTGCTTGGTGATCGGTCACGCCACATACATATTTTCTTCAGCGCGGCATTGTTGGATGGTGATGGCAATACGGAAGAAGAATGCGGTGGGTAATCAGGTAATGATGGGTAAGAAACCGGTGATTGTAATGGGGAGGAAACTGGCGGTAGGGATTGCATGAACGCTGAAGATGCGACATGCAAGTCCATTCCTGGGGGACCATGGCTATCGTCATTGCTGGCATTGCGAGGGATGCAAATGGCCTAAAGATAAGAACAAGAGAAGAGGAGAGGAGATATGGAGGAGGAGGAGAATAGCTAGACTTGTTGAGCTCCATAACCTTGAATCTCTTGACAGAGAGAAGAAATGGAGAGACAAGATTAAATAAAAGTGATTGGACAATGGGACATATCAAGTATTTATGGGATCTCTAGGGGGGTGAAAAGGTTGATCCCAAAAAATAGGATTGCGGGCAGATTTTGCAAATACTCTAAACTACTCTGGACTGTCGGTTTTGCATCTATGTTCTGGAAATCAACACATCAACGATGGCCAGCTTAATTGGTTTTCCAGGAATAGTTTCATAGAGGGCATAGCGTCAAGGATAACAACAGGGAGCTTCATCCTTCTTTTTCCTTATTTCAACCTGAGGAAAAAAGATTGCCTGCTCTTCCTTGCGGTTTTCCAGCCAGGCCAGAAATTCGCGTTCTAACACGATGTCCAGCTCTTCCTTGTTCTATCCAGGCAGTAGCCAGAAATTGGCGTTCCAATTCATTTTCCATTAGAACCAAATTCATAAACGTTGCAGCTATCATCCACTTGGTCTGTGGTTGGACTTCAGACAACAGGTCTGTGGTTGGACCAATTTTCTTTCTCTTTGCTTTTATCTGTCGATATTCTTAAGGTCAAGGAATTCTACGACTTGAAGTTGCAGGGAAGCAGGTGGCCTCAACCACACGCAGGTCGCCTCATAACAAATTGATGAGATGATAAATACAACTACGAAGGCGGCGTAGGCTAAAAAGAAAAGGGGGTGGAATAATCTACGACCTGTCTCAGACTAGTGCAATTTATGGTATGACTTTTTTTTCCCTTCTTGGTGACATATCATATGATTCTTACCTCATTGGATCAAGAGCAATGACTCCATAAGCAATGTCCATAATATTCTTAGGTTATTAAGCGAATTTCGATCTCCAAGTGGCTTGATTTGATTGGTATGATGCAGAGAAAATCGATCAAATGAACTACCCCATATGAAATCCTATACTCATTTTTTGTTTGGTTCTTGGTGTATGAAAGAATTACTATTATTTCTCTATGGCCGGGAATTGTAGCTTGCTAGCCGATTTTTATTGTGATACAAACGGAAGCTAACAGCATATAAATTTTAACGAAGAAAAACGTTTTAGATGTGAAATTATAATTTTATTTTTTTGTTAATTTAGTGTATTATGTATATCTTTTCAAGAGATTTAGAAGACTTTTAGAATAGGCTAAAACCTACTACCTCTACAAGAAAACAATTTAAAGTCCGAAGATATTATAAAAATTAAAACAAAATCTAAAAATAAAAAATAAATTTAAAATATTTAGAAAAAATAATAAAATTAGCCCAAACAATAATTTTTTAATCTAATTCTGAGAGATCTATCGGTCTGATAAACAACATAATGGCTTTAAATGTGAAAACTGTTTGTGAAATTACTTAGAAAAGTTTAAACTTGATATAATAGTTGGATATTTTGTAATCATAATTTTAAGGTATTAACCTATTCTAGTATGATTAGTTTTCTTTTGGATCTAAATATATGCTACTAATTTATAAAAGTTATCTATTAACCTAACTGAGTTGCATTTTCATTTAAAAATATCAATTTTTTATTCAATACTTGAAATCTTTAGTTTTTACAAGTTAGATTGCATCATCTTGAATATAAACTATAAAGACATAATAGGGTAATTATGTTAAATATTAAGGGAAAGAAAATAAAAATATACATGAGTAAGCTAGTGCATTAGTGAAACTAATCATTAGTTACAATATCATGGTAATTATCTAATGGCTTAAAACTTTTAAAATGTTTTTATTTTTTTATTCATTTATATAGTAATATTACTAGATTATTGTTTATGTTATATTGTGGATTAGATCAATTTTTTAAAAGTAAAAAAATACTCATATTTCTTAGTAAAAGAAAATTAAACTATACGAGAATTGATTTAATATAGCCTAGTTGACTTAATAGATTTAAAGATAATTCAAATAATTGATAAAAATATAGTTTGACTTAAAAAATTATGATATTTTTTTTAAAATAAAACAGCATCATATTAGATCAACTTGTCAAATTTATTACTCGGGTCATGAAATCTTGATAACCCTATAAAAAACAAATATAAAAAAATTATTAAACTTAATTTGAGATCAACCTAATATTAAATGATAAAACTAAAAATAAAATTTAACTAAAAAAATAAGTTAAGTCAATATGTCAAACATAGGTCATAAAGACAAGATAATCTCATAAAAAGTAAATCAAAACAAATTATAAAACTCAATTCTTAATCAATCTAATATTTAAGGTTGAAGTTAAAAAGAAAAAAATCACATGATTCAACCAACCAAACCTGTGATCAGGATTAATAAGGATAACCTTATAGAATGTAAACTGAAAGAAATTATAAAGTCTAATTCTCAACTAACCTAATATTAAAAAATAAAATTAAACAAAAAATCAACAAAAATGACAAAAAGAAGTTGATACAATTGGCCTAACTTACAACTTGGGTCATATGATAACCTCATAGAAAGATAGAAAAAATATAAACCTCAATTCTCAATCAATCAAATTTTGAATGATTAAATTAAAAAAAAAAGACAAAAAAAATCAAAGTCAAAAATCTAAGTCAACCTAGATTTACTTGCAAAACATGGGTCAGAAAATTAAAATAATTTTATAGAAAGCAAATAAAAAATAATAAAAAATAGATAAAAAAATGAATCTAATCAACATAATTATCCCACAAAACTCGTGATTCAGATTATAAGACCAAAATAACTTCATAAAAAGAAAAATAAAAAAAATTATAAAGTCTGATTCTCAATAAACTTAATGTCAAATGATGAAATTGAATAAAGTATTAATTAAAAAATAGAAAAAAAATGACCCGAGTTAACACAACTAACTCTTAAAACTCACGACTTGGATCATGAAAATAGAATAATTCCTTAGAAAGCAAATTAAAATAAATTATGAAACTTTATACTTGGTAAACCCAATGTTAAAGGCTGAAATTTAAAAAAAAAATTGAAATTAAAAAAATCCTTAGAAATTTTGAGGACCAAAGTGAAAAGATACTTTTAATGTTCTTTACTATAATAAAAAGCCAAGGCTTTTAGTATATGTTTATATTTTCTAGTGACTTTAGAGATTTGAGGAAGGTGATTATGGAGAAACTTAATACTTACCGGGACTTACTCAAACAATACTATTATTTAATAATAATTATAGTTTGTGAAGGTAAGTAGTTGGCTTTATCCCATTAAATTTTACACATGTTTTATTTCGTATTTAATTTGCATGGTTTTACATGTATAATAACTAGACTAGTAATGAAGTTTTGTGTTGAAGTTTATAGTAGAGTTGTGCAAGACAATAGAAGATTGCGACCATAAAATATAAGACGAAACCATTTTGGTAGGAAGAAGTTAAAGAAGATCCGGGTGTCAAAATCATTCGCAAAATGGTTCTGTAAAAATCGATTGCGCCCTTGTTACACATATTGAAGGCAAGAATACCTTAAATCATCAGGTAGATCAATAAATCGATTGCGCACTTGTTATTAATATAAAGATCAAAGAGAAACATTTGGCCTAAATAATACAAGTGTCTCCTTCAATAACATAACTTAATGCTGCTGTTATTTGTGGGAAAGAGACGCTTGAGGCAGAGGAATAAAGAATGAAATGTTTAAAATTCCTATTTTGTGACCGGTGATGGAGTCCCACATTCATATAGCGTGTTAGTGAAACATGTATGCTTCTTAGTTCTTGCATGACATGGGATTTCTCGATTATTTTAACTCCTAGGAGCAATATAGTGATTTCCACGGTGATGCTAGCTAGCTTGTCCAATTCTGATCAATCTCCTGCAATGGCGATTCTTCACCTTGCTCGAGAAAGGCGTCCTGACATGTTTCCGGATATGATGCTACGGCACCAAGCATTTGAGTCAATCAGTCCATGTCGTGACATGAAATTGCAGTCAAAGCATCACTGAGGTCAGCGATTCCAGAGTCAAGAGACTCTAGGCATATGTCATGAGAGCCCCTGGTCATGGCTGATAAAGAGAGATCCTTGGTAGAGGAAATCAGTTGTAGTACAAGATGGAAATATGGAATTGAATGGTCGTGTAATTGGACTTGGTACAGAGCTTTTGATAGAGTCCAATTATAAAGTTTGGAGGACTTGTATGGAGTCCTATCTCCTTGGCGAAGATTTGTGGGAAGTTGTTAGGGGAGATGATACTGCAGCTCCCGAAAATAATGCTCAAAATGTTGATTCTCTTGAGCAGTGGACACAAAACAATGCTAAGGAAGAATTTGTCTTGAAAAGGTCAATCTCTCGTGCTTTGTTCGAGCATGTTCGCAAATCCGCAAGTGAAATTTGGCAAAGGTTGCTCAACAAAAAGGGTGAGGCAAGGCTGCAAATGCTTGAAAATGAGCCAGCAAAACACTACTCAAAGTAATCTTTCAATCACCCAATACTTCTTGAAAATGAAAACCTTGTGCTAAAAAATGTGTGGATTCTGAGAAAGGTGAGAAGTATTTGAATAAAGAAGATTGTTTCATTGCCAAAACAATAAAAATTGGTGCTTCTAATGATTTTGAAAAATAATGGATCGTGGACTCTGGTTGTGGTCACCATGTCACCGGGGACGCCTCCAAGTTCTCAAGTGTTCATTCCTTCGAAGGAAGTGATGGCATTGTCACGGAAAATAATTTAGTTAATCCTGTAGAAAAAGGAGGGTATTGTTGTTATCGATGATATCCAAAGTAATTATATTACTCTTGATAAACTGAAGCTGTGTAAAGAAAAATCTTTTCTCAGTGACTAATGTTGTAGATGCTTTAGCCCTCATGATGTGAAATTCTTGTGCAACATCAAAGTGTTAGAAGTTGATATTGTTCGTCCTGGAAAGAGAATGGATGATTTACATACGTTATCATCTTCTTCATCTTCTTATGCTGAGAAGATGTGTAGCCATCAAAATGCTTCTTTATGTCATACTCTTAGAAATCTTGATACGAGTAAACTGAGAGTTATGGCGCAGAAAAGTTACTAGGACTTCCCAATCTATCCAGCTTTGGTGGGGTGGAATTTGCAAGGGTTATCAAAATTAATCTCTCCCTACCAGTCCCTTTGAGCTGATTCGATCCAAGCTTGGACTTGTTTTGAAAAAATGTCTTTTAAGAGCCTAAATTAAAGATATATTTTTTTGAAGTTTCTGCTGTTTATGTTTTATAGTTTTCCTATGTTTAGCAGTTAAAGAGCCTTTTGGTTCTTGTAATAGTTCTTATCTGGATGATTTGTTCTAGTTTCCTGGAGCCAGGAGTATTTATTTTCTAGTGTGAGAATGTGTGGTGGTTCTTCTCATGTTCTGTCAGCTTGTTTTCTTTTTTTGTGGTCTTGGGATAGTGTGACTTAAGTCTCTCTACAGTTTTTCTTGCAGACTCGGCTGCTTGCTTAACTATTTTTGCATTTATGTATTACAGAGATCATCAGTCATCGCATCAAGAATTTCCAGGTTGGTTTTTCCAATAGTAGTTTCATAAGTGCAGAGCAGCTAAGGATGACAGCAAAGCTTTTCTTATGTTTTCCTTACCTCTAAATGATGTCTTGTTCTTCCTTTGCTGTGAACAAGATAGCCAGAAATTGGCTTCCGAGTTTTTTGCCACGGCCAAATTCACAAACGTCGGCTATCCCCACTTGGTTTGTGGTGGTTTCAGGTAACAAGATACTGATACAATCGCGCGCTTGCTCCTGGAAATAGATTTCTAATAGTATGCTCGGCTAGCTGGAGATTGGATTATTGCTTTGGGAAAAGAACATTTTCTTTCTGTTTGGTCTTGAAAGTATTTTTATGTTACCTTCTTGATAATCCATCCTTCTCTAGCCATCCAATTGGATCATAAGTAGAATAATGTAAGATCATTTCTGGGAATCTCTTAATGGAAAGCTAAGTTTTGCTTGTATCTTGATCTTTTATTTTCTCCCCCTACTTTTGTTTTCTTTGGCTACTGCCTGTGCACCCTCTTGTTTTTCCTCTTGATTATGTCATGTGTTGGTTTGAAATGATCAAGAAACGCAATCACCAATGCCATGAAGTATTGTCGAAGGCAACAAATTAAGTTGTTGCTTGCGAGTGTCCAGGTATTTCGAAGCTTCATTAAAGAAAGATAAAACACTAGAACTTTTTTTTTTTTCTTGGTGGGGGAGAGAGGGAGGAGATTCAATGAAGGTGAGGAAACGATCGGTACGAGATTTTTGCAGAAGATCAGGAAAGAATGTCGAGCAGCGCAATATTATTCTCAGTCAAAGAGGATTATTTTGAAACTATGAAGACATGTTAAAAGGCGTCATCACATTACTGATCGAATATTCCTCTACACAAAGCATGATATACATGACAGAACAACTAACGATTAATTTAACTCCATTGGAGAGATGTAGAAATGGCCAAGTTGATGCTAGCCAACTTATCCAGATGCTGATCCGTCTCTTTCAATGGTGATTCGAGGTCTGGTTGCTCGGCAAATGCTTCCTCACATGTGTCAGAATATGTCAAAGCGGCACTTAGCTTAGTGCTCAGCCTGCCTATGTCGTGAGCGGAAATTGCAGTCAAAGCGTCATTGAGAACAGCGATTCCATTATCAAAAGACTCAACGCATGTGTCAAGGGGGGCCTTAACCGCTGCTGTTGTAGAGAGATCGTTGAGTATTTTTGTGGCAACAGCCGTGGCCTCTTCAAAACTCTTTTGGAGAGCATGTATCCCGATTTTAAGGACTGAAATGGGATTGGTTTCGCCAGTTAGGGAAGGAGCAATGGTGGCAAGACATTCTGCTGGGTAACGGGTTACGTCACATATTTTCGTCAGTGCAGCATTGTTGGATAGTAATGGCAGTGTGGAGGATGAATGTGCTGGAGACTCAGGCGGTGGTGGGGAGGAAACTGGCGACGGAAATGGGGATCGAATGGTGGGGGAGACAACTGGAGGTGGCAATGGGGATCGGGTGGTTGCCTCAGATAAGAAAGACATGGCCGGCCCTAGGGCATCAGCAATCCCTGGAGCCTCAAAAATGGCCCCGGCCAAAAATGGGAGGAGAGAAGAGGAAATAAGGAGAAGGGTGAACTTGTTAAGCTCCATTACCTTCTCTTCTCTTGGAAATAGAGCAGAAATGGAGACACAATGTGAGGGCCGATGGGAGCAACGGGAAAGAAAGTATATATTTATGGGATCTTTATAGGGGGTGAATGGGTTGTCCAAGAAAATAGGATCACCATGCAAATTTTGCCAAAGCTCCAAGTTTGGTGTAACTATTTATGGACATATAATAGTGGCCACGTCCTGGCAACCCAGAAATTAGGGTTCCAATTTCTTTTCCCAAACCAAATGCAAAAGATCTGCAGCCATCGCCCACTTGGTTTTTGGTGGATTTCAGATAACAAGACAATAATTTGTCAACGCTAAATATATCAGAAGTGTGTTTTTGTTATTAGCTCCTTGTCTTTTCTCATAGACTATATTTTCAAGGGCAGGGATTTCGGTGGCCAAGGTTGCTAGGGAAGCAAGGGGAGGGAGGGTATGATATATCTAGCAAACAGTTGTCATGCAGCACACATGAGATAGTTAATCTACTCGCTGATTCATGAATAATTTTTTAAAAAAAATAGGAATTAAATACATAGTTTGTTTTTTGAAACCATGAAGACTAATTAAGTAGTTAGTTTTGTTAAACTACGGAAGTTAGCTATAGAAGAAGGGTTGAAGAAGATTCATAAATAAGAATCTATTATATACACAAAATTTCAACAGCCATGTAGAGTAGCCACGCTGCTTTTGGGGGGACTTGGCAGCGGTGGTTCTCCACAAGGCAAAACAAAAGGCAGCCACTCCACCAATCACAACTACAAAATCTATTCCAAAAAGAAATCCTACTAAATATTTCCTCACTTGGGGCTATCAGATTGCTTACAGATTGCTACCTTCGATATATTCATCGTCCTTCATGAAGATCTTCAGAGAAAACTGCTGTCCGGGAGATATGGTCGTTATCTAAGGCACTCAGGCCAGAGTATGGACCAGAAGAGAACATTGAGGATGTCCCATCAGATTCGAAGGTATTAGATGACTGCCTCAGGTTGGTCCGGGCATGGGAGGTTGACATGGAATCTTGATATTCCATTACACGCTGCACCATTTTAAGTGACTGTACTACTTCACCCATAGTCGGTCGCTGGCTTGCCTCAGAGGAAACACACGCTGCTGCAATTGTGCAGACTCGTATAAAATCTTCCTTGGGATATTTCCCTGCAAGCCTTGGATCAGCAAGCTCTTCTAGCTGGTCCTTGTCTCTCAGAATGGGCCTGGCCTGAAAGCGATAGAACAGAATTTGTTAGCCTATCCAGAATTTTAATAATTGTTACGTATCTTTTTGTATTGCCAGGTATCAGGATATGAATAGTATGATTTTGAAACTACACTTAAAACCTTGGTTTTGATAAAGCTGAAATTTAACGCTTTTTCAACACCATGGTTTTAGATGCAAACCGTGGTTTTGAAAATGTAATCACAAACGGAGCCGAAGCCAGAATTCTAATGATGGGCTGAGATGGTATGCTACTAACCCAAGTGACAAGGTTCTCTTGGCCGGATGGTTGTGACATATCTACAGGCATCCTTCCAGTCAGCAACTCGAGGAGGACAACTCCATAGCTATAAACATCACTTTTGACTAGTAGATGTCCGGTCATAGCATACTCAGGGGCTACATACCTATAGAGCAATAATACCATTTCATCTCAATAACAATTTGAGAAAACATATAATTAAGAAGAGAGGAATTCTGACAAACCCAAATGTTCCCATGACACGAGTGGAAAGATAATTTGCTCTGCCTTCAGGTGCCTGTTTGGCAAGTCCAAAATCAGAAACTTTCGCATGAAAGTTCTTCTCAAGCAATATATTTGATGCCTTGAAATCTCTGTGGATGACACAGGGTTGAGAGTCCTCGTGTAGGTATGCAAGTCCTCTTGCAGCATCAAGTGCAATCTTCATTCTGGTATCCCAATCCAGAGGACAGTTTGCACCCAGAGGGCCTAAGGCATGCATATTTGGAGCAGCATTAATATTTGAATAATATAATGCAAAACATTCATAGCAAGGATTCAGATACTATACAAATGTGTACCAGTCCAACTCATCAGATTCTCAGAAATCCGATGCAAATACAGAAAAACATTAGTTGACTGTTAATGCAATACCAGTTATCATTAGTCCACTTGATATTCCATCGCTGATGTGGCCATTTGTAGGCCAAGAAAGAAAGGTCTATTGATGGTTAACAGTCAACAGAAAAAAGAAACAGATGGGGTAACAATCCAGAGTGTGTTAAATTTCATATCTTGCGTGCACTCATGCTGTGAAGTCATTTTACATCAAACATTAGAAAGAGAATTGGTCAGGTGCAAAATTCTACTGATGCGGACAAGATGTTTTCACACCAGTGTTAAGGCCAGGTTGATACCAATACATTCGACTAAAGAGCCAAACATGCTCAGAATAGGTAATGAATAATGCCTAACTTCTCTATAATATTTATTCCATCTTATTGCTAGCAACTGAAAGTAAGAAGAAAATACCATATCAAACATCAAAATGCTAGGAAGATCTGGAATTGGAAAGAAAAATATCAAATTACCATGGAGCCAAGCCTCTAGACTTCCATTTGGAACAAGCTCATAGCAAAGTAGGTTTTGTGAAGAGTCACGACTGCTATAGTAGCCCACAAGTTTGACAAGATTACGGTGATGCAGCCTGCTAAGCATCTCAACCTCCACCAAAAATTCTTTACCCCCTTGTTGCCCTCCACTAGTAAGCCTCTTAATTGCTACAGCTGTGCCATCACTTAAGATACCTTTGAAAACTCTACCAAACCCACCCTCTCCAAGTATGCTTGCAGATTCAAAGTTGTTTGTTGCTTCTTTAAGTTCTTCATAGGCTAGAAACCGTGTACTTGAAGGATGTGGAAGAGACCCTGCTGCTGGAACTGGATCTATGGTCCTTGGCTTTACTGAATTGGAAGGGAAAAAAAAAAAAAGGAAACCTAATAAATCATTAAGAAAGACAACGTGAAAGCATAGATGAGCAAAGAACCATAAGAAAACTTTTAACAAAAAAGATCCAACATCAGGAAGCATTTATATTCAAGAGGTGTGGCTGCAAGCTTAATCTTGTTCAAGCAGAAACATTTTATCATTGGGAAACTATGGCAAATCAAGTACTTAAAGTTGAGAACATTCTAGTGTTAACAGAAATCAGATGCAAGCATAACTATAATGAATTAGACCAGTGTGGCCAACATTTTCTTAAATGCCTCTATAAAAAGCATAGCAAATTGGTTTGTCTAGGTGTGACACTCAACATGCCCCCTTCTTCAGTAAACAAAATTATCATTTGCAGGAAACTTCTCTTCTTGGCTTCCCTTTCTGATAGTTATTTTTTTTATATTCCCGAACCTATCAATGTAATATGGGTGGAATGCACAAATTACAAGCCTAAAGGCTGAAGGCTGCATATGACACAGCAGCAGCACTTTGTGAGGAAGGATTTGACAGAATGTCTGCATTCCTTGTATAAAGATCAAGTAGAGAGAGGAACTTTTCACAATCAAGAGAAAACCTGATAGGTCCCATGAGTGACCTGCTACTGGCAATGATAATCAGGAATAATGACACAAATTCCAATGTGTGCATACTATGCATAAATAATTTGGAAGATTCCTAATATAAATCTGAGAGACTAAATGTGTGGACATTGATATTTAAAACACCTACCAGTTTCTTTAGGGGATGCTTTAGGCTTCCCTTCTCGGAATACACACGAACAGATAATTAGCATAAATACAATGGCAATAATCACAATGCCAGAACCAATACCCAGAACAAGAATCAAATTTGTATGTTTGCCCTTCTTTGAAGAACCCACCGATGTTGATGTTGAAGATTGATGTGCCGGTGCCCTCATGGGCGATGAAGCAACAATAGGAGCTGTATACAAGAGGTAAAGCAACTTCAATGTACATACTGGAGAACAAAGATCTCTATGGTGTCTACTGCCATACATTTTGGAACCTAAACAAAGATTTTACGAGATAAAAATATCAAACAGCAAACTGAATTCCAGCATAATCTCATCTCCAAATCTAAGACAATGTCAACTGAAGGCTAAATTTTAACTCTTGCTTCTTTACTTTATTCAATGATCTATTATTTATCACCACTATTATACCACTTGACAGTTAGCATTTTTCTTTCTTTTTGCTAGAAAAGGCAGCAGTTCATGTCATATTACAACAAGCAGCAGATTTTCCCAATGCTGGATTTGAAAGCAAAATTTGCATAAATTTGAACATTCACAGAAACATATGCTAGAATTGCACATTCTGTTATCCAAACGAAGATATTACATGACACACAGCAAACTGAAGGTTATAAGAAAATAGAAGCACTGTCCAATAAAATTTCTCATTGTTATAAACACCCTGTTAGTGTGTTTATCGTTTTGAATAGGAAGGCAACATTTACATCAAATCACAACACACATACAGCAACTTTTCTGAGTGCTTGATTTGACAATAAAATCAGTATAAATTTGAACCATGTACCCTTGTACTTTGATTGAAACTGGAAAGTGGTTCTGAGTGCTTGATTTGACAATAAAATCAGTATAAATTTGAACCATGTGCCCTTGTACTTTGATTGAAACTGGAAAGTGGCTATAACATATCGTTTGCAGAGACATGTTAGTATTGTACAGTGAATCAGGTAGCCTCTTCCTGCAATTTGGTAGGATAATAATGGGCCACAACTCTAGGTAATTCCTCTTGCTCAAACTCATACAATACCCTCTTTTTTATTTTTCTTTGGTAACAAAATGATTTTATCAGGAAGCATACAAGTGATGCTTGGAAATACACACAAGGCAAAGTTGAAGGCAGTCAAGGAAAAGCTGTATGCAATGGCTAAGACCCACTACATATAAAAACCACATTGGCACCTTAAAAAACAAAGTTTACCTGGCGAAGGTGCAGGAGGTTCAAACCAAGTAAGATTCAGGAGTTTATAATCACCAACATGAGAGGAGTCAAAGTGAACCTTATGCAAGGCAAGCGACGAGTTTACTGCAGATGCATCACTGGCAGAGAAACTGATTCCTGTGTGAGGAATGATATCCATTGAAATATTTAATCTTGATAAGCTTAGTAAATAAAAGTTTATCAGCTCAATTTGAGAAACTAGCAAGCCCAGCTGGGAAGATAATTCTTCTAGAAACAGGTTCCAATTAGGATTTTGTGAGACATTCAAAAGTAGAAGGTCAAGCTTTATTGGATACACACAGTGGCAACCATGACTCCCTCGTTTCAGCACCATGTCTGGTTTACAACAATCTGCAGAAGGAAAGATCAATTCTATAATCACATCACAATCATAGATTTCATTAGCGGGAATGAGTATATCTGTAAGTTAAGCAAGAAGTTCAGCGCATTATCAAGACGGTTTATAAAGGAGCAAGACATTGACAAATATTGCCACTTTCTCTTCAATGGTCAAGTTGCTTTTCCAACATATGAACCGTGAAAACAGGAAAGAAGGAAAAGAAAGGTGTTCACACAGTATGTCTTACCAGAAAAAGAAGGAGATAATGGGGACTGAGCTAAAACAGTAGGATTTGTGCCATCACCAGACTGAGTTGGAGCAATATCTACCAATCCAACACTGGAAGGCACCAATGCATTCTTCTTCATTGACGGTTTAGACAAGTGTGAACTAGTCGGGGGATGGCCGGAAGCTATCAGTGGACCATAATTAGGAGGTTGGGTTGGTGCTACCACAAATGCCGGTGCACCATGAGGTGAGAAATGCTTTTTCCGTGGTTTATGCAACGATGGTAGATTGTATGGGAGGGGTAAATCAGGAATGGCAGGTGCAGCCAGAGGCACACCAAATGGAGATAAGACCGGCCCTCTGAATTGATCATCAGCTAAATCGGCATTGGTGATGGGAATTAAATAGCATAAACTGATCAAAAGCTGCAGAAACAAATACCAGACTCTTCTCGATAATCCTGCAACACCCATACAAAGTTCCAATCAAGAAACCATAACAGAAACACCAGCAACAAAGTAAATGCAATTTCATGAGACGAAAATGTTAAATCTAATAACATTACATCTAGAAACATAAGAAACCAAAATTTTACACCTTCTAATAATGAGACCGAGTGTTGGAAGCTTTTTCAATTGTAAAATGAACATGATAACGTATTGTGCCGATAATATCAGAAATTTGGTTAAACCCTAACAGAACAGAACAAAAACAAAAAACTCTGCAGTGTAAGCTAAAAATCTCAAAGAAAAATCAAGTTTAGTAGCCTTAAAAAGGCTTTAATATTCATGAAGTACAACTTCTTTCCGCGGTTTTTTTCTTTTATGAAGTGCAATTTCTTTCCTCAATTTCCTCATTCGTCAAAAGCAAAAAAGCAGCATTAATGCGTAAAAAACAACAGGAGATGAAACTTACCGCCGCGGCTTGAAATTGCAAGCACCGACATCACCAACGCCGTTGATTGAGAGCACCCGTCCCGTCAGATCTGTGTGATTTCAAGCAAATCCACTGCGATACCACACTCTAGCGAGCACAAGAACCCAAACAGACGGACTGAAAGCATAACACTATAAGCAAAACTCGTTTGGGAACGACAGTGAAGGAGGATCCAAGGGTAGAGATATTATCATAGGAATTGGAACAAGGAGTTGATAACTCAGAGCAAAACCCTCCATTACTGAGTTAACTTGAAGAGCAGAGATTACTGGAGGCTCCAGAAAGAAGAGAGAAGGGGAGAGACGTTTTAATGATTGTTATGGAGGAGAGACATCGGTTTGTTTGTTTCCTTCACTGTGCAGGCCTGGAGAAGCTTTTTCGTTTTTGGAAAAAATTTCGTCTTTTTCTAATTTTAAGACGTTGGTTTTTCACTCCTTTTGTTTTTTTTTTTGCTTTTGAGTGAGAAAGGATGGGCACAGGCACGCACAGAATTTTTATAATCTACCCTATTCGCTGCCGGAAAAGGACAGGCTAACGGTAAAAAAACCGGTGTGCATTTTGTTTGTGAGTGACCCAGCAGGATGTCAGGGGTGTTTCCTGCTGTTTTTCTTTATACTTATATTTTTTTAAAATATATTTTTAATTTAAAAAATATTAAATTAATTTTTTAAAATATTTAATACATTGATATCAAAAATAAAAAATATTTTAATATATTTATAAAAAAATTATTTAAAAAACAATCTAAACTGAAATTTCAAATATACACTCTCGTTGTATTTTATGGTATAGCTGAAATTTTTAACATATTGATATTAAAAATAAAAAATATTTTAATATATTTATAAAAAAATTATTTAAAAAACAATCTAAACTGAAATTTCAAATATACACTCTCGCTGTATTTTATGGTATAGCTGGTTTATTAAACATACTTTTTATGTTTATTAAAAAATAATGTCTAGAATATTAAAAACATTTTGACATTATCATTAAAGTTAGTGTAGCAACTCAAACTTAAAATATCTTGATTTAATTCTTTAATTAGCGAAAATTTTAAATTAAATTATATAAAATATAATTTGATATAATATTATTAATTAGGTAAATTCCAAGAAAACTAGCAAAGAAAAAAAAAATCAGGTTGAAGCTATTTAACTCGTTAAATTTATTATTGGGATTATAGATTTTATTAAGTTGAATTTTTTTATTTTATTATACAATAAAAAATAAAAAAATAAGATTTAATAAAAACTTAATATTAAATAACAAAAATTAAAAAAAAACATAAAAAAATAGCAGAGGAAAAAACCAAATGATGAATTAAAAGAAGCCATGGATCTACTAAACCAAATGATGAGGCATGCTATGCATCACCACGTATTAACCAAGTAATTGTGTTGATAAGCAATTAAAATAATATATTAATATGGTTTAGTATTTATATGAACAATTAAATTATAAACCTAGGATTTTTCCAAGTTATCAAAATAGTTAATAATAATAATAATAATAGAACAAATTAAAATAGATTTTTTTAGGATTATTGGGACATGAAAGTAAATAAAAATAGATATTTGAGCAAATAAAAAACATAAGAGATCAAGTTGAAATTATAAAAAACTTGGGGCAAAGGTGCAATGAAGGAAAGATTGACCATGTAAATACACGTTCATGGCTTCCCCATGAAGCCAATCATGGCCGGTCACCTTGCTTAAGAAAAAGGGGAGAGTTTTTATTGATTTTACTTTATTTTCACCTTAAATCCATCTATTTAAACACTAGTTAAGAGAGGGTAAAGGATCCAAAGGGAGTTTCGGAGGATTTTGAGAGAGCAATTGAAGATTTCTTGGAGCTTTGGGAGATAGGAAGTGGCGGGTTGGAAGAAGAGAAAACTTATTTTCATTTGCTTTCCTTTTCAATTTTCTTGTTTCCAAGTGGTAAGAAAACTTGTCTTATGCTTGGTTTGGATTTATGTTGTAGATTGATGGATTTGTGTGAGAAAAACATTATGAAAAACCGAGTTTAGATGAATTATTATCCTGATTGAAGATGTTGTGCTCTAATCATGTTTTCAGACGTGGGAAAAGGATTTATGATGAGGAATTAAAAAGAAAACCTGCCCCACCTCCATGGATGATTGATTCGGCCAAGGTGAAAAAAATAAAGGTGTGGAGTTGTTTGATTGAATTATGGTGATTTAATTATGAATATAATTGTGTTAGTTGGGATGAAGAGAAAGTGGGTGATAAAGAAATTGAAAGAAGAATTGAAGAATTTTTTTTTATTTTTTTATTGTTTGTTTGAAACATGATTTAAATCCGTATTTTTTTTTAATTTTAAATTTTTTATTTAAAATTAATATTTTTTAGTTTTTTTAAATTGATTTAATATGCTATATTAAATATATTTTTTTAAAAAATAAAAAATATCATTTTAATATATTTTTAAATAAAAATATTTTAAACTGTAATTAATTATTATTAAAATTCAAAGTTAACACAAAAGGGGGCTGGCATGGTGTAGGAAATGTGTTGTTGCTTTTTGTTTAAGATGGATCGGTGTGGACTTTTGAAGAAGAAATGAAAGATTTAACATGCTAGGGACATTCGGCCAAAAAGGAAAGAAAAAGTGAAATCGATTTAATTAGTGAGAAAAGGTGTTGAATTGGTGAGGAAAACAATATATATATATATATATATATATTAATATGTTGATTAGAAAGTATATTGTGAGGTTAATATGTGCATTTGTTTAACTTGATAAAAAGAGGGTAACCCTTTTGATAGAAAATATTCGGCCCCACTATGCTAAAAGGGTGTTTAAATTTATGTATTAAATTAATATAAAACTCATGTGTGATTATATTAATTAAAGAGTTTAATGTATGGTAAGGATGTGATTACATGAAAAAATAAAGGGAATTTTTTTTTAATATAAATGCTTGTTTACATTTGATAATTTAAATTGAAAAAAATTGTCTAATTACTCTAAATAAAATTATTATCGTTAGTTGTTTAATAATGAAAATATTTAATTGACTAATTATTTTTAAAATATTAGTGACATCAATAGAATTAATGTCTAGATTCTTGATTTGATAAAAAAAAATTGTTTAACTGTAGAAGTAAATTGAAAAGAAAACATATAATCATGTTTGAATATTAAAAAAATTAAATTTTTTAATCAAATAAAATAAGTCATTCAAATTGGATGAATTAATCTTATTGTTATACTTATATTATATGCTATATAGTTTTTGGTACATCACCCTTGTATGAAGTTTGGAGTAGTAGTTATTATTATTTTATCTTTTGGTTAGAAAATTGAATGAACCCCTAGACTTTCTACCAAAACCAAAAGTAAAAACATAATAATTCAGTTAAGAATATAGTAATTTTTTTATTTATTTGGGATCAATCAAAAATTTGACAAACTACAACTGTATCATTATAGTTAGCTCTATATCATATAATTAGTCTCCAAACAATAATAGCTGACTTGGTTTTCTTACAATTAGCGTCCACTGCACTCAACTTTATACTATATAATTAGTATTGTACATATAATCGAATTTAATTTATTCAATTGGTCTTAAAAAGTCAACTCTAACATGTTTTAATTTATTTAATTAGTTTTTATTCAAACAAGCAACTTTAATTTACTCAATTAGCATTCATCCATATAACCAACTTTAATTTATTTAATTAGTTTTTTTTCATGTGACTAAATTTGATACAAAATCCATCACTAGTCATTTCAAAACTCATTGCATAAAACCATCTAGGTGGTGGTCAAGTGGTAAGGACTTGGGATCAAGGGGTTTGCTCCCTCTGTGGTCTCAGGTTCGAGTCCTTGGTTGCTCATATGATGGCCACTGGAGGCTTACATGGTCGTTAACTTCAGGGCCCGTGGGATTAGTCGTGGTGCGCGCAAGCTGGCCCGGACACCCACGTTAATAAAAAAAAAAAAAAAAAAAAAAAAAAAAAACTCATTGCATAATATAAATAAATTTTAACAAGAATGTTAAAACTTGTTGCGTAATATATAAAATTTTTAATAATAATGTTTTTTCAAAGAAAGAAGTGAGATGACAGGTGCCTACCTGACATTCTAATAGTGTACGCTTCTTTAATTATTAGTCCATTTTTAATTTAAAAAAAAAACATTTATAATTATTACCCAAATTATTTTAACTCTTTTTTTGTTCATACTTATTTAAACACATCATCATCCTTTTATCAAATATGTCAATCATGACTCTTAACACATAACTATTCAAATTATAAGCTTGATATCAAATTTAAGCATACCACATCATTTAAACATCCAAGACTTACACAAGTCCATAAATTTTCATATTTTTATTTTTTCATGTTTAATTAACATAAATAATATCAATCAATTTATTCCACATAAATCACCATTAAAATTAAACACACTACCATCATCATACTAACTAAATTTAAGCATAATAACAACCAATTAATTCCACGTAAATCACCATCAAAATTAAGCACAATATCATCTTCATACCAATCAAAATTTAGCATGATAATATCAGTTAAATCACCAAATCTTACACAATTTTACTACTTTTTGTACTTTTTTTTATTTTTCCACATTTAACCAACATTAATAACTTTAATCCTCGTGGTAGTATTTCAAGTCAATCTCAAGCATCCTCCCACATAATTTAAAAGTATAAAATCATATAATCTTGTTAAATTTCCAAAATTTTCATCATTCCAACATATAACCACAAGTAAACTTTTATCAATTCACATTGCAACATTCAAAATCAATTTAAAAGCATTTTCAACATCATTAAAATACCAAAGCCAATATAATATCAAATCATGGTTGACTACTTTAATATTTTAAAATCCATAATCAGTTTTTAATTTTTCTAATTTAATTCTTAATCATGTCATCTACATCACAATTAATTCATAACTTACATGAAACCTAAAATTTTATATTTGAGGATTTTTTATCTCCCCCGACAAAAAAACAAGAATAAAAATAGATTTAATTATAAAAAAAATTTCATCAATACTGAAAGAAAAGAAATAACACGAAGGAAAGAAGAAAAAAATCAACAATCTAAACTATTAGTATTTTTCACCTACCAATTTATTTTTACTTCGTCAAAGTTTTTACACTATTTAAATACGGAGGTTTTCCTTTTAATTTGTTAATTTTCAAATAAAAATTATGATATTTAACTTGAGATTTACAACTCAGCTTGACTTAATTTTTTTTAATTTAATTTATTTTTATTTTTTAATATTGTGTTGATTAATAATTAAATTTTATATTATATTTTATTTTTATTTTTATAAAAATTATTCTATATTCATGACAAATTATAAATTTAATATATTAATATGCTACAAACTAAAAACTAGC